CCCCGCCCCGCCCCGCCGCCGCCGCGACGCCCGGCGATCGCAGTGGGCGCGGCCGCGCCTCTGGGCGGGCAGACCGGCTGGCAGGCGACACTTCGATCGCCAGTTCATCGCGCTTTGGTCACTCGCAGAATTATTCTGTAGTCACAGGGCAAAAGTTCTCAAGTCAATTTTTGGCGAAATTGTGTTAAGTACTGAATTCAAATGTTGCCTCCTTAACGACAAAAAAAAAAGCGTTGTGGAAATATAGCACAGCGTTAGGAAATACAGAGGACTCAGTAAGTGTGACCCTTGTTTTCTCCACACTAAGATTTTTGACTTACGAACTTTTCGCCCGTGACGACAGAATTAGTTTGCAGGGGCAGATCCAGAGACGAATTTTGGGAGGGGAAATGCAAAATGTTTTCTTCGAATATGTCATAGAAGGGCTTTTATAAAATGTCGCTAGCTCAGCTCATGATGGGATACGATTTTATTCGTTTTAATGATAATCCGAAAATATTTTGCTTGAAAGTCTCCCGACAAGTTAAAATTAACAGATACTGCAATTTTTTAGAGGGGAAAATGTCCTTCATTTCCATCCCGTCAATCCGCGCCTCTAGTACGGCTTGTGCTTATAAACTTCCGGTATTTGTTTTCTATCTCTATTTCACATACAGTAGTTCATTAATATGTTGATAATTTGACCAAGAAGAAAGTTACACTATAAGTCTAATTAATGAATATACTATATCACGATCATGAGGTCTTACTTTTAAATTTAGCAGTATCTTACTGCATTATTTTTTATCCTCATCTGAGCATTTGCTATTAACAAAGCCACTATTTTTCTACTGCACATTGATATCTCCTATGGAGTTCAATTACCTGTCCAGTAGAATTGATGATCGGTTAGATAGAAATTATGCGTTTTCTTCATATCATGCAAGCCTTGTAGTATTCCTATCCTCGCCAAAATTTCTTATTTTGCCAGATACCAGGCAGATTTATACTTCCTCGTGCGTATTTGGTTTTGTAAGTGTTGTAAACGAACACTGTACTTTAGTATCGGAATTATGAAGACCTATAGAATATCCGATAATTTGGTCATTTGAGCTATCTACAAGAAATCGCCGTTCCATTGTACTCTAACATTCGACACCTTTTGTTTCTGTTATATTTAATTGCACCAAACAAATCATTTTGGTTTCGATATTGCGCACTAAGTCGGCAAATTTTCTCATGTGAGAAAATGAGTATAAACACGTACCAAAAAGAAATTGAAAGATACCAGAATGTACAAAGAGATGATCGTAAATAGCCAATAACAATATTTTTAACATCTAAATAATTGAAACAAGAAAACTCTTGCCATTTCCAGAAACTTGGAATCTTTACGTTCGTCCGTGAATTATAAATATTTATACTTATTATAAATCATGATTTTTCCAGAAAATGTGGATATTATTGAATGTGTTGTTTAATGTGTGAAATAACGGGCCAGCATCACCTGGCAGCAACGGATTCCGCCTGCTACTTCAGGACTCCCAAAACCATTCACTGCCCTGCTGGAGTTTGGTCTGCAAGCGGTCGGTGGAGCATTCCCCCACCAGACGACGCTGAGCGCAGGTCTGATGTCACTGTTGCTTTTCGTCACGCGCGTGACGAGCGGTTTCGCGCCCACTGCGCGGCGTCGACACGGCGGCGCCCCCCACGCCCCCGCCCCCCGCCCCGCGCCCCACACCCACCGCTCCTTGCGCGATACAGTGGTTCGGCATGAATGGAGAGCGGGAAGGCCTTCTTCGTAATGCACTTCTGTTACTTCGAATTATCGCAACACACGAACGCGAAGTCACTCGACTGGCGTTCGTTAGGGGTTTTAAAAATCCGCTGCACGTTGAGAACAATCGAAAGAAATGTCCTAAAGATGGTGATTATGTAGTGCTACTCCAATAAAAGATTGATATATTTTTCTTATACTAAGGTGATATTTCGAAAGTAATGAACAGTACACAGCCAATGTCACAAAAGACCCGTTTTTTGCGCCTAAAGGCGTAATGACGCTCATTATGTTAACAATCTATGTATTGTTTTATTATACCCATTATACCAATTATTGTTCCCATCTCGATCAGATTTTGGTTCAGTTTCCCTAATACATTGAGCAAATGCTGAGATGGCCCCTTGTTTTGCTTCCGGACGTAAATGTAGCTTCACTATGCGCACGTTTTGTTGAACTCATCTTTTGCTTGTAGTGGTAGGAGTAGAGGTAACGGTGAGTTACCATTTTGTTATCAATGCAAAAAAAATCAGCCCTGCAGTTCATTTACCGTTGCAAATAAGTTTTCTATAAGTCGGGAACGAAAATGTCTAGTTTTTCAAATGTCGCTTTTGTCGCGGTTTTTAATTTTTTTTTATTTATCTTTAACCTTTACTCATCTTTCTACTATTTATAGTTAAAATAATGGGAAGGGATTCTGGAACTCAAGAAAATATGCGCAGATGATCTTCTCCCCCAGACGTCACATACAGTTTTTACAGTTTTTTGACTAATAAATCTAATCTAGGCTTATAAAATTCGAATGAGAAACTGAAACGTCAGTATTCACAATGGCGTACCAAATATTACGGTCTTACACCTAACCTAAACAAAAGCGCGCTATAAATTTGAATTGAGATCTAATTGAGGTTAAATGAACGCTGACTTACCAATCTCTTAACATTTCTGTCCATATTCACATTGCCTCAGCGACTTTTGCTTACGATTTAGGTTTAATGGTGCAGGTGTCAAACTCTGTTTGTATCCCCTATGCAATGGAAGTATTGCCGCCTAGGTCTTTTTCTTCACCGGATAAAGCAGACTCGGTGAAGAGGGAGATCAGATTGCCAACCTCACTCGACTCCGGTTACAAAACGACGAGCAGCCGAAAGATCACTCTTGCCCTACCTCGCATTTGCTCATTTCAAGGGGTTCGTATCTGTTTGTAATTGATGCTCATTCTTATCTAAGTCCCAAGTCAAATGAATGAAAACATCAAATTAGTTTCATGTCATAAGTTTACCCGATGTAGTGGATAGAATATGTATATATAGGGTAGATATCCCAGAATTTAAGAAAACGAGCACAGAAAACACTTCTCATCCTCACAAACCTCACCTCACAAACAATTTACCCTGTTTTTAATGTTAAATAAATACATAAATTAAATAAATAAATATAATGCACATAGTACCGTAAGATGCATCAGTCTAATATAATGGTTTTATCATTATACATTATATTTTTCATCAATTTGTATCTTGACGTCTTGATAAATGGTTCGAATTCAGCAGCTCATAGAATCTTTCAATTCACTTTGATTTTTTTCAGTTAACATATATTTAAATTATTAGAATTATCGCCGGAATAAATGAAGGAGAAGGTAATGATTTTCATCGATTTCTTAGTGACCATATAACTTACTAACGGATCAATTTTTTTACGTATAATTTAAGATTCAATGTAGTCATATTTATTGTGGATACATAAAACAAATAAGTTTATGACATCGTATCAACACCGAAATAGCAGAAGGTCGACACTAGTTAGCCTTTTTTGTCTTTTAGTCCATAAATGTTATTACCTAACTACACAGAGCAAACATAAGAGTAATGTTTTCGAGAATGTGAACGTAAAATCCTTTATTGCAATCCGTAGCCTTAAAGATAATGTCGCTCCTTCCAGTGAAAATTCAAAATAAGCACACATATGTATTCATGTATTGAACATTTCTCTACATTTTATACGTGATGTGTCTAGGGATATGCCTTATCTTAAAAGTCATGACACTGCACATCAAACGTCAATTCAATATAATGTACTTTGCGGTCCTAGTAGATATTAACAGCATATCAATAAATTAGACAAACGCTGAATGAGACCATGACCGTGTAACTAAGATTATCAATTTTATCGTGTTCGTTCAGTTATGCTATTGCAATCCAGAAGGCAATAACGGTTTATTATAAACTAAATAAATCAATGTTTCCTGGCGGGGTCTGTATTGACCCCAGAAGTTTGAATGAATTTTCAAGGGATCGACAGCTGAATATGCACCGACAACTGGTCTCTGATTCAAAAGTTTTAATAATACATGTTTATGCTTATGTTTATAAATATTGAAAATTATAATAGTACAGAAATAATAAGACTTAATCCTAATAAATATTGTTTTCAAAATTTTTATTCATATTCTCTGTGTATGTAATCGTTCTCAGATGATTTACAGACAATTATTTGTGATATATTTATTTCGCATGCTGTATACTACAGAAAAAAGTCAAGGAGGGTCATTGAAGAAAATCTTTCTTTTAAAAGGGGTCAATGCAAGAAAAAAGTTGCAAATCCCCGAAATAAAAAAAAAATAATTCTGGTACCACATCACTTTATTTTGCATAATTTACTCATCAATTTCACAATATTTCCGCTGCTTGCACCAATCTGAAGTGAAGTAAGGGTTCTTTGATTAAAATACCAGTGGTTTTTCCCCCTCAAACTCTCCAACCCTGTCTTCTTTATCTGTCTATCTCTGTCTGCCTTCTCTCTGACTTATCTCCCTCCCTCTCTCTTTCCCTTTCTCTCCCCCCCTCTCTCTCTCTCTCTTTGCTTTTCTCTCTCTTTCACTTTCTCCCTCCCTCTCCCTTTCTTCTCTCTCCCTTCTTTCTCTTTTTCATTTTCTCTCTCCCTCTCTCTATCTTCTCTCTCCCTTCTCTTTCTCTTTTCTCTTTCTTTCACTTTCTCTCTCCCTTTGTCTCTCTTTCTTTCACTTTCTCTCTCTTTCACTTTCTCTCTCTCTTTCTCTCTCTCTCTTTGTCTCTCTCTCTCTCTCTCTCTCTCTCTCTCTGTCTTGTGTCCCTCTCAAAGAGAAAAG